CGCCCCCTGCTGGCCCCACTAACACCACTTCCGGCAGCAACCTTAGTTTTTCCCAGGAGGTCTCCCATCCAGGTACTGACCAGGCTCACACATGCTTAGCTTCAGTGGGCTGCTAGTTGTGAGTTGCAGGGTGATGTAGCTGCTGGCTCAGATGATTGAGTGAAGCTGAGGGGTAAACACACAAAAAAGTCATATATTAAAAAAAAAAATATTGCAATACAATCATATTGTATTAACAGTGCTGGCTTGTGCTCACATTAAAAATGAAAGTATATCAAGTTTTATTCATTGGATAATTATATATTATAACACATTTTCTAATAAATCTCAATTATAGTTACTGTGAATGTATCAGTGTTATATTTACCAGTAAATAATTAATCTAATCATTCTTTCCTTTCTCTCCCTCATTGGGACTGTTCACTGTATCTAAACAGAAAGTTTACTGTATCTCTATCGTATCTTTCTATCTAAACCATAAAGTGTATTGTCCACTTAAGCACTTTGACTAGAAAGGGATCAGATTGTATTATCTAGCAGTTGTAAATTTATTTGAAAATACACATAGATAATAAAAGGCAGTTTTGCGATCATTGATTGATTTTTGATGTCTGAGCCCTGATCTCTTACAGGCTGTTCTAAATTTGTCACACTAAATGACATGTAGGATATACAGGTAGCTAGCCATAATACATCTTTGACTGTGTTTAAGTATTGTTGCTCTGTTAGTTAAAGCTTTAAGAAATGTAACATACTTAAAGCCACATATTCAGTACACTTAAACCACTTTTATCTTTTAAATGTAGAGTAACATTAAGCAACTGCATTTATTGATTAAAAACATTGGCATTTTTTGGAAGACATCCTTTTTTGTAATATGTTAATGTTCTGATCAATTAAAAAATCACATATTAATATAAAAGACATGTTGAATGATTATTATGTGTATTGTATATCTCCAGCTGGATATATGAATTGATAAGGGCGTTGAAGAGGGTAACCGTGTGATGGAATAGAAATTAAAACAAAGCTTTTATAAAAAGATCAGTGGATCACATACCAGTTCATTTTCCATTCCATTTTCCAATAAATTCACCCATAGCTTAATGCTGGTAATTATAAATTAGTAGTGCTCAATTTCTCTATGTCATAGGATCTTTTAGGGAATATTTTTCTTCAACAAAGGGCTGCGTTTAATGAATACACTTCTAACTTTACCTGTTCAACTTTTTAATACTTTCCTTTCTCACAAATGTTTTGTCTTTTTTTATATATAGGTGAGTCTGGACTCCAGAGTTCGTGAAGTGATAAACAGAAACATGCTTGAACCAACATCTCATACGTTTGATGATGCACAGCTTCAGATTTACACCTTAATGCACAGAGACTCTTACCCTCGATTTATGAACTCGTCAGTCTACAAGAGTCTGCTCCAGACCCTTTCAGAACCACCCACAGAATCATAGGAACTGGTTTTCCCTTTCATAATTTGTTTTTGTTAGAATATGTCAGAGGGCCAATCAGCTCTTTACAGGGATTTTACAGCTAAGGGATCTGCACCTGAAAGTAATACTCAGGCTTCTTTTACTCTGGATTTTAAGGTCTCAAATCTCCTGAGGGCTCAACACCACAAGCTTCAGATCAACAAAACACTCCAAAGGATATTAATGGTGACATTATTATTATTATTATTATTATTATTATTATTATTACTATTATTATTATTATTATTATTATTATTATTATTATAACAGAAGGCTATTTTGGTAAAGGTGATTCTGGTGGGGCAAAAATGATTAGTGTAGTTTTTTTTACAAAGTGTATGTAGAAAAGGGCATACCATGAAAAAGCAAATAATTTTTGAAAACTCAAGAAACACTTTTTGAAGTAATGTGCCAGATATTTGTTTTTAACGGGGACAATGCTGTTAGCCAGTTTTTCTTTTTTCTCACTTTTGCTTTACCTACTTTTTAATGCACACATTTCACAAGCATGCACAAAGATACACAGTACTCGCCAAAAATAGCCGGGCAACTTCAAATTTTAAACTTTTAAAAAAAAGTGAAGTTTGTGTTCAAAAACTGTAATTGTTGTAGGTTTGTCATAAGAGTGCACATACAAATAAGCTTATCACAGGGTAATTAAGGGTTACGTGATATTTTAGGAGCTAGAAAGATCAATATAACTTAGATCTGAATGAATGAAAACTGAATGAAATTATATTATCTTTTAATATCTGGATACCAATGTAAAGACAACTTTATGTTACAAATTAAAAGAGAAGTCAGTGAAAGTAGAACTTTTGTTATGAGTTCTTTGAATGTTCAGAAGATAATTTGCTACACAGTTCATACAGTACATAAAAGATAAGTCTGATTTCTGTGACTGATATCAGAAGAAAAAAGTATACTCCCAATACTAGTTAGACATGTCCACAGTTAAAGCAGCAGGAACCTCAGATCAGAAGAAGTTCAGATCAATCTGACCTTCTGGTCTTCCATCAGAAACTAAGAGATCTGCACATACTGTACATGAGATACTGTAAGACTTTTGCTTGTGTTTTCTCAGAATGTGTTTCTACTGTCATCCAATGTTTGACAACAGGGGCTTGAATAGCAAATGAAAATAGCAAAATGGATTAAGATATAAAAAAAAGGGAACATTATGAAGCCAGTCTTTTTACAACATTATTTTACTTCTCAGCTGAACAAAGCACTGTGCCATGCAGGTAACATTTGAAAGTAAACCTGCAAAATATATTGCATACATTCAATTTATGCGTTAATCACTTAAGAAAACTGCTTTAATATGTGACAAAATAATACAAATTATACCAAATTATTGGTTTAGCGCACTACATTTACTCCTAATTTTGTAAACAGGGACGAGCACTGCAAATGCAAAGCACAGGGCTCATTACAGTGTTTTTTAGTGCAAGAAATATATGTATTTGAGTCTGTCTCAGTAAAAATGATCACTGTGATTACATTTATTTTGTGGAGGATCTTCGTGTTTTCTGAGTGGAATTAGAACTCATAAAGCTTTCCGTAACTTCTTAAAAAATAAGAGAAGATTTTCATAAACCATTGCTATTTTAGAGTAATCCTCAACTGAAACTATTTGCAAAAACTGCATTCTTGTACAGCTGTGGAAAAAATATGGTTTACTGGAATGTTACTATTGTGTTATCGTAAACTACAATAATGATGATGATAATAATAATAATAATAATATATCTCAACACTCACCAGGACAAGTGGACTAAAAATGGATGAGTGAATAATGATCATATCTGAAGTTCTTTTTACTGAATATATTCAACATAAATGAGTAATTTTTAAATACCATATTAAAATAATATATAACTTATTGAAAGACATTCAATAACATAGATTTGTCTGTAATAAAAGCACATGTATGTAGTTCTATAGAATGTTGGTATGGATCTATGGAAATACATTATGACAATTTGCCTGTGAAATTTTAATCTTTTGAAACTTCTTATTTTTGTGTCCTTCCCTGTAGCTCTGAATGACCCAAAATAATGTACAGTGTGTAACTTCCTACTGATTCTTATACTGTTGTTTTTTATCCTGGCATTTTATATACAAATACACTCTTACATGTATAGCGAGAGTAACACTGAAGTGAAATTATAATATTGCAGTAAGTACAGAAGTTTTTATATATATAGATTATCTTGTTCTGCCTTCACTTTCTTATTAAATGTTTCAAACAAAAACTTTGGAGTTGCCAAGTTACTTTTTTGATAGAATTATTTATGTACTCAAAGACAAGAGCTACAATTAGGGAAGTACTTTGAGATTTATTTTGTGACATTTATGGCATGGGAAATCTTCATTTAAACCTCTAGTCACATTTACAAATGACAAATGTGTTTTAGCCTACACTCTGCCAGTTAGCAGTAGTACTTCCACTTGTCTTGGAGTATATAGTACTTTTACACCGAATATTCATTCAATTTGAGCTGATGGAAAAATAATATAGATCAACCTCCAATTATCTACGCCAATGGTTTGGAATAATACTGCCTATTATTTATTTTGTTGTTGTAAAATTTGTTTTTTTATATCACAGTTTGCTTAAAAAAGGCATTTTTAATTAACAACTTGTGAATGTTTATAATATGGTTTAAAAAAGTCTTGGGTTTTAATTTACTGAGGAAAATAGTGGAAAAATTGTGGGCATTTGAATTCTTTGGAACTATAATAAAGCACAAGAATTTTATCGAATTTTATTGGTGCCCTGTTTAATGCCTTCTGCTTCATCTTGGGTTGCACAAAGCAGAAAATGTCAACTTCATACAACTGAGTAAAATATTTCAAATACTATCACAGTATTACACGATACATCACACTAAAGGTATGTTGTTTTGGATAGTGGGTGAGGAAGTACGAAATGAAAATCAAAATGAAATGAAAAGCACATAGCTAGATAAAACTAACAATGTTTGGTGATCAGCAGGCAAGGTATGGCAGGTATTTTGTCCATATTTTGAAACACAAAGGTGTCCTAGATTTCCTTGCAGTTGTCATTAATTCACATCTTGTCACCAGCATTGCTTCACAGGGGGATTCCTATCGGAGCATCTCATTCCCTCATTAAACTGTAAATCCTGGCTGGAGAGTAGACAAAACACTCATGCAGATTGTCAATCTGCTTACCGTCTGTTAATAAGGACAGTGGAGGAAAAATGTGTCAGAGAGACTTATGACTTGAATTTGTACTTGAGCTTTTGAAATATTACAATTTTTATTTCTTTTGATTGCCATTCTAAGAGTTTTTGTGTCCAATCAAGTGTCCACTAAATCTTCTATTACTTTCCTTAGAAATTACTTCTGTGTTTTTGTCAATATAAATTTAATTTTATGAGATTGATGGGTGAATGATGGCTTATACTGTACTTCCAGTGAGGAATAATTTGGAGATTGTTATTTTCATTAGTTAGGGGGATTCACTCTTGTGCTGGGAAGGTAAGGTAGTCTGAGACATTTGCAAATTATAAGGGTTGTAGTTACAGATGTAGCCATTCAAAATGCACCACTTCATCTTTCATCAGTTCTTCAAAATCCCAAAGGTAGTGATTTGCTAATGTTCAGTGAAAATATTCTAGTAGGAATTCTTGTTCCTTTTTTGTATATTGAAAACATCTCATCATCCCTTAAATAAACCACTAAAAAATAAAATACAGAAAGGTTGCTGCTGTATGTGTGTATGTGCTATGTTGAGACTAACAAACTGCAACATCAATACAAGGCCTGAACAAAATGCTGAAACCAACTATATTATACCCACTTGTTGTAACACACAGTACAGATTCTATGGGTTTTTTTTGTATTCAACAACCTACACCAATCATTAAAAATATATTATACTGAGTATGGTATATCTATCAGTATCTGTATTATATCTGGTCAAAGAGTTCAAATAAAGGGTGAGAACTTAAATTGGTGTGATACAATTAGCAGAGTATCACCAGGATCTGTACTAGGGCCAATGCTCTCCTTAAGTTATATGAATGATTTAGATTCCATTATAGTTGGTTAACTAGTCAAGTTGTCAGCTAATACCAAATTAGGAGGATTAGCAATCGCTGTGGAAGCAGCACATGAAATTCACAGTCTTAAAATTCAGGTCAGGGCAAACACTTGGCAGAAGATGCCTAATGTAGACAAGTGTTCAGGATTTCAGATGTACAGTAGATCATAAAACATAAATTATAAATACAAAATGGGAGAAGCTGAGCTAGAAGAAGCTGCTTAGGGTTAGGTGTTTTTGTTGACACTTCATTTAAATAATCTTCTAGAAATTGGGGGGAATACTGTGTACAATTTTATGAAGCATATCATAAAAAAGTTATTGCTGCTCTGTAAATAGTTGAGAGTGAACATTGAAATATGAACCAGAAGAGACAAATTGAAACTACATGGAAGTGCATAAAACAGAGAACGGAAGGCACTTTTCTTCCCAAAGGGTTGTGGGAATATTTATCGTGCTACTTAGCTTTGTTGTTAAAGCTTCTTTCAAGAAACAGCTGTAAGATATGCCTGGATCAATTATCTATTAACTACCAAACAGGCTAGATGGGCCAAATGGCATTGTCTCATTTGTAACCTATGTGATGTTTTCATGAGAAGTTAACAGTTTATAATACTTTAATTCTTGGGAAAAGCCAAACAATGTTGTGGTACTGTAAATAAGCACTACATGCCATTGCTTGATAAGTAAAGGGTTAAGTGAATCAAGAAAACAACAGAATCAATGAGGGTATTCTTAAGATAATCTTAAAATTATCATGGTCCATGTGACAGAATGTGACTTTCCAGAAATAAGTTATTTGCTTATTTTAGCCATTTTGAAAACATGTGTAACACACAGGAAGCTTTTATATGGATATTTTTTAATGGCTGATACTAAATATAAGTACCGTGCAAATTACAGTTTTCCTGAAGACAATGTGCTTAAGCTTTAGCCATCCGAAAACCTGTAATCAAAGGGTAATCAGAATTTTCTATAGGACACCTGCCATTTGACAGGTAACTTCATGGAGCAAACTGTAGTATGTACAGTTTTTATACATAATGCCTTGAAAAAATATTTACCCCCTTCCAAATATATCCCATTTGCTTAAATTACAAATACAGATGAATTGAACACTTTTATGGGTGAAAGAAACACTAAAATGCATCGATTGCACAATTATTCACGCCCTGTATGAATATTTGGTGGAGCCAAGTTAGAAATTACAGGCTATAAGGTTAACTCATTCTTCTTTGCAAATGTGCTAAAGCTCTGTCAGTTGGTTTTTGGATCATTGATGAATAACAATTTTCAAGTCTGTCCACAGATTTTATATATTTATATAGATTTCTTCCTGTTAATTAGGTTCAGTGAAGCTTTGTTCCTTTGTTTTGGGTCATTGTCCTGTAGAAAGTTGAACGTTTGTCCTATTAAAGGTTTCTTTGGAAGACTGAAGCAGCTTTCCCTTTAAGATTTGGTTGTACATTGTTCCATTTCCCCTTCAATATTGAAGCTTCCCAATCGCCGTCGATGACATGGCCCCAAAACATAATGCTGCCACCACTATTCTTGACAGTAAGGATGGTATTAACAGGATGATACCTTGGACTGGGTTTGCGCTAATATAACACATTCCACATTAAATAAAAAGTTTTAATTTTGATATTCACTGACCACAAAAACATTTGCCGCATTCTGGCTGTGTCTCTTAAATGTTTGTTCCAAACTCCATGTTGGATTTGATATGTTTTTGTTCAGTACATAAAGGTTACCTTGTGAGTGACTGGTATGACTTTGTTGACTCATGAACATTTTCTCCCATCTTAGCCATTGAACTCTCTCACAGTGGAATCTAACCAGTTTCCTCCATTTCTGGCAACGTAGTTTGGAAAGACTAGGCAGTATCTGGATAGTTTGATATACCCATTGATCAACGTCAGTACTTAAAATGATATTCAGTGTTCCTCTTCAATTATTCATACCTTCCCCTGATTACAGTTTTTATGCTTGATTTGTTTTGAAAGCTCCTTGCTTTTTATATTTTAACTGATGTTTGAAATTTACTGCTTGACTGTAGGATCTTACAGAGGTGCATTTATTCTGAAATAATGAGAATTACTATTTTTGTGCACATAGGTCATTCAAATAATTGTATAACTTTCCTTAGTAATTTTGTACACAGGAAGTAATTTAGGATTTAATTCAGATTTGACACAGCATGTGGGGATAGTTATGCAATCAACATATTTCTATGTGTTAAAGGGGTGGGTCATTTGCATTTCACATCTTGAAATTCCACATCTAAGAAAAATGTTTGCATTTCACAGACTCTGAAAACAATGGGTGGAAACCTAAGTGTTTGTGTAGCTACAGGTAAGCCTGTAAACAAGGAGGATCAAAGGGAATATTCTGGTTTACTCTAGTTGGTAGAGTAAATCATTAGAGTCTTCATCAGTCCATAAAAAGAGACTTAGGTAGAAAGGAAGAAGACACAGGAAAAATGGAAGACAAAAAGAGAGAGGCAGATTGAAGAAAATTCTCTTGTTCTAGGTTTGTGCCAGGACCTTCTACTGATCATTTTTGGAGACCAGATTCTGGCTAAGTAATTGGAACTTCATTTTAGAGAGCTTTCTGTCCCTGTTTTTTAAAGAAATGCTGATTTCTTTTATTGTGGAATCCTCGTGCTAAAAATATTCTCTCCTAATTTGGTGATGCATCTTTAGCATACAGAGATGGATACCTATTCATGTTTGAGTATCCATGTTAAAGGGAGGGGCATTTAGTGCTGAGTTATATTCTTCTGGCACTGCTAGCCACTACCACTGACTGTTGACTGTTAAGTTGCATACTGCATGTTTCTTTTGTTTATTATTGTATATTGTAAAATATATATGTTGTACTGCACTGTATACTAGAAGATACACTGCTCGCCTACTTTTATTTATTGCTTCACCTGCTTCAGTCTTCACCTGTCTGTATACTGAAAGAACAACCACAATTAAGAATTCCAATGCACTTGTTACAAATGGCAAATAATCTTTGAACTTGAACTTTATTTAGGATGCAAAGTATTTCTCTTCTTGGCTAGGTGTTGTATAGTGTTTCAGGTTACAAGGTTAGCATTCTGGATTTTTTGGTCTATAGAAATTAGTATGAATTAAATATTTGTTTGTCCTAGTTTGCCTCTGATGTATTACTCTTTCACCAGAGCTGTGCCAGAGAATAAAAAACTTACGTGCCTCAAATAAGATCTAGCACTCAGGTTATTTTTGATATTCGGATCTAATTATTTATTTTAATTATTCAATTTCCAACAAAAGTTTCTTGTCTTCCATCAAAGCATCTTTGAAGAAACATACAAACAGTAAAAGTGAACATTACATTATGTTATATTCACTGTTCAAAGTTAATATAACACCACTCCTGCAGGAATGCACACAAATACACAGCAGTACCAAAACTTGCTTGAGCTATACTCACACCAAACCCATATAATCACCATTACCTCTTCAGTCTTGAACATAATCCACCAATGGCGCTTGGCCATAAACCATTGCTTCTTTATTGTGAACTCAATTATTGATAGAGTAATTTGACTCAATATGGGATGAAAGAATTCCTCATTTTGTTAAATCTACATTGAAGGCTCTGTGGCTAAGGATCTGCGCCTGTGACTTGAAGGTTGCCGGTTCAAATCCCGCGGCCGGCAGAGGAATCCTACTCCGTTGGGCCCCTGAGCAAGGCCCTTAACCCTAACTGCTCCAGGGGCGCAGTACAATGGCAGACCCTGCGCTCTGACCCCAAGCTTCTCTCCCTGTCTCTGTGTCTGTGTCTGTGTCTCCATGGAGAAAAGCTGGGGTATGCGAAAAGACGCATTCCTAATGCAAGAAATTGTATAGGGCTAATAAAGAAACATTATCATCACATTATCATTATTATCAATAAAAGGGCAGAGGATTGAAGTAAAAAAAGCATAGTCCTTAACTAAAGAATTCAGGTTTCTCCTTGTGTCCACAAGACCAGTGTTCCTGCACAGCTTAGTGAGGGTGAATGCTGATCAGAAGTTGAGAACAAGGACAGAGGAGGATTTATCTAGATTATAACCTACAATACTGTTGAAATCACCTGCTAGAAAACCCAAATCTTTGCAATGCATGTTAATCAAAAGCAGCATATCAGCCTTCAGTTTATTGGAATTGTAAACATTAAGAATAGTGACATGCTGTCCAAATATTGAACCTGATATGAAAACAAACCTTCCATGATATTGACTTGCTGCTCTAAAATAAATGGACCTGGTTTGCTTATGAGGATAGCTGTGCCCTTTTTACATGAATTAAAAGGTGAAAAATAGATGTGCTCTACCCAATCTGCATTGAGATTTAGATATAGATGCTCATTTTCAGTTAAATATGTTTCTTGAAGCATAGCAATGTCTGATCTTTGTCAGCATTTTTTTTTAAATTTCATGCCCTATGCAATGAATATTCCATATAATAAACCAATGAAGTGGTCATTGATCAGTATACAAAAGCTAAACACATTCAGGTACATTCTATGTGGGTCATTAAACTTAACTGATGTCTGACAAGCAGGGATGTGGACACTGCATATTCACAACCCAAGATGAAGTATAGAAGTCTGGTTCTAACCAAGATTAACGAAATGAAAACAGACAAGGCCCCAAACAGTGCATTGGGTATTCAAAAAACACCACAATATTACTATGTAATATTGTAGGGACAGAAAAGATATAGCAGTCACTGATCAGCTAAGAGTTACCAGATTCTAACATGTACTGTTGCGATTTTCTCTGTCCAAATATTAGTTGATATAAGAAGGGCCTAGGAACCAATTCCTTACCTCCATTTATATTATTACACAATTTCTTGAATGTGACGTGAAATGTTAGTCTTCGATATTGTCTAAAACGGCTTTCACGGATGCAGGTCAAGTGAATAAATGTAGTTTCCCATTGAGCATGCAACTAAGCTTGGCCAGGCAGTCAAATTCTGAGACATATGTTCCAGTCAGCAAGTTTCCTTCACTGTTAAAACTCCTGTTGTTTCCTCTTGTCCTCATTCAAGAGAGCCTGGTAGAATGAGAAGGCTACAGTTGTGAATAATGTTGCTCTTCTTCAGTGGAGTTCAAAGGTATACTCTTTTGCCAGAGCAATGGAGAAATCGCACTGGGGTCTCACAAACGCTTGTCGGGGTCTAGAACAGGCCAGAGTGATCTGTTGGCTCATTGAATGTCCACAATTTTATCTGAGGGAAGATTAAGACACTTTAGCAGCACTGACTGAAGAAATTTGGCAAGCAGTGTACAACCCCTTGAGTTTCCCAGTAGGCCCATGATTGATCTTGCATGTTTGACTTGATGTCTCAGTTATTTGGTTGACTTTTGTGGGTATAGCCACCATCTTCCACTGTGGAAATTTGATTTTTCACCTCTATCACCCACACTTCAACTTTAACTTCTTTTAAAGAACACGATTTGTTACACGCAATAAAGCAGGCCTGCGTTTTACACCACATATTGCTGCATTGGTTGACCCACCTGAGGAAGGCTCCACAGCCGAAACATTTTCTTACTTCTCTTTTCAGCATTGAATAAACCTTTTACTTGTTCCTTTGCAGCCTTTGCATCCTGACGCAGCTACCCACCTGAACCATTCACAATGCAGTTGTGTAAGTTATCTCCTGCTTATCCTACTGACAATCTTCATTTAAGGTAAATTGTCATCTATCAGAACATGTCTTAGTCTTAGATTGTGTGTGGTGAGAATGTCACTGTGATGAGTAACAAAGTTTGTGAGTTTCTTATAGATTAAATCTGGCCCAAATCAGCCTTGATTGTTTAGTATTTGCACAGCTGCCCCTAGTCACCCCTTTAATTGAATTGAAGTAGAGGGAGTTAACTTTTCCACACAGGCATATTGGATGTAGGGTGACTTTGTTTATGAATAAAATCTCTGATAACATTCAGCTGCAAAATCGTGCAAACATCCAGAGATCCTGAAAGGGGGTGGATACTTTTTCACGGCACTGTAGCTTGTCAGGTGAGATTAAGTTAATTAGCCTTATTTCATAAACTAGTATTGGTTCTCATTACCTGGGTTGGTACAAAACATTGCACGCACAAAGCCAGACCAAGAATTCATTTGCTTCAAAACAAGAGCTGGCAAGCTTTGTTCTAGGAGATGATCCCCCTGGGAGCCTTCAAGAAACTGCAGGCATCACTCCATAAACAACAAACGAAACCTACGTAAAACTAATATAAGTTAAAAATACCATGTAATTAAACATTCACAACAGCAAATGTGAATGCAAAGGGGAAAGTTTATAAAATCTTAAAGACAAATAGAACTCTTTCCTGTTCAGTAAAAAGGCAAAGTACTCGTGTTATTCACAATGACTGAAACAGGCATTATTTTTACCAAAACATTAACCCATTCAAACGCATCAAGGAAGAGATTTCTGTCAGGGCCCTGATAGTGCACCACTTCATACAGTCGGCAACATTTGTGACCATGGCTAATGAATGGGTGACCTTGTATTGTTGAACACTTAAGTGGATGCACCTGCGAAGATCACAAAGCAGAGTGCATTTCCAGCCTAATTGTTAGTTCATGTTCCCACTATACAAGATTAATAATGCATAAGATTAAAATTCAAACACTTCTTAACAATAAAATCTCATTTAAATTTCTCTCCTGGTCAGCAGCCTCCAGCATGCATACTAATACAATACTAATAGCCCAAGCATACACATGAGCCCGCGTCTAATGATTTTTAGTAAAAGGGAAACAGACCCCTCTGCACATGGGTCTTTTCCTCAAAAATTTATATCTCCCCCTTATTATTATTAAGTAGCACAACAAAGTGAATACAGATTACTTTGCATATGTCTAAAATTCCTAAATCCCCATGGGATTTGTTTTTCTTGAACCGTGAAAGGGGTTTACACTGCTGCTAGGGTTAAATTATACTGTTCTAATATTCAGAAACAAGCTTCTTTTAGACCCGTTTCAGCCTTAAGAAATTACAGTGGCATTTTCTAGCCATTTTACAAAATGGCTAATTGAGGCTAGATTTTTTTTTTAGCAATGCTTCAGTTTTCTGCCAATTCTAACACATTCTGAGACTTACTTTCATTACATCTCAGTAGAACTCTTCTTTTTCTAAATATATTCACTACAGGATGATACAGCTGGCATATTTTCCTACAAGTATCAAACACATAAGGAGACGTACAGACTCCAATCAACAGGCTGATGGGGTCTAGAAAGCCATTCAGATGAGATTGGAGATGGTAATTGGAGAATATGGCTTTGAGTGGTCTTTCATTGGATTTACCAAATTATTTTAGCAAAACATTTAAAATATTATTCCAAGAAACAAAAATGGTTTTGCATAATATAATATTCCATAATTTCTAAATTAACTCTTGATGGAACGAAAATGAAAACCGATGAGCTATCAAATAACGCTGAGATATTTAGTGATGAAAAATGTGAAAACAGTATGTGTACTCTATGAACTATAACAGACAATTACAATTATACTTTAAATATGTATTTCATGTTTCTTAATGTACAGACTCTGCATGTATATTTTATGTACATTAACTTCAACTAAAGGAAGCACATTCAGATTCCACATAAACATGTGTCAAATCATCCATAAGTTGTGAAAGCATGACATGACATTTTTCTTTATAAGAGAACACACATGAAACAGAAATTATTGATAAAATTTTAATGTCAAACTACATATAAAAAAGAAATACATTAACATCAACCATAGTCTGAGAGACTGTTCCAACTACCTAATGTTAATACAAGGAATAGTTCCGAGGACGTAATGGTTAAAATCAAATAGTGGTGATGTTTTTCTGTGGCCATCTGTGTACCAGGTTCCACTAATGCAAAATTCCTAACTTTTCTTTAATCAACAAATATAGGTAAAAAAAACAACAGAAGTCCTGGTCCGGCAGTCTATATCCTCTTTGACTTCGGAAAATTCACTTTCCTCTTCAACAGAACTAAAACAGAAGGGAAACATCATAAATGCACAAAATGTTTTACAATTTGGGTTTCAATGTGCTGGGCTAGTGCTACAAGAGACTAATCTACTCTTCTTAAGCAGAAACAAAACTGCTCACAAACTTATTTTGAAAGCCATTTGAGAGGAAGACTACCTGTATAGTTTTTGAAAGCATATCCTAACCTATCACAGGAATATTCATTAAGTGATAGTCCTTGGAAAGGCTGGTAGTTGATAAGGTAAATATAGTTACAATTCTAGAAAACAATAATTATTTAGATGTATAGCTGACATTGTCTATTGTTGTCTGTGCATCTATCAGGATTAGAGATCTGATTTAGGGTTGGCCATAACATGTGGTTTCTGATGAACAGCATGACCATCGTTTCTGATATAATCAGATCTCAAAAACGAAGCAAGGTGATACATGCGGACTTGGATTGGGAATTCTATGCCTTAGTATGGTGACCGAGGACACTGTGCTGTAGGGGGTGTTGTCCTTCAAATGAGAAATGGACTGCCAGTCATTAAAGATGCTATGGCACCATTTGGACATTTAGGGGTGTTAGCCACAGTGTCCTGGCTAAATGTCATGCTGCACTCTGGCTGTTTAGTGGGGTTGCTGACACCTAAGAGCTGCCACTGTCACCCAGCAGTGGGTTAAGTGGGCCCATCCTATATGTAAAACAGATTTGAATCCTCTGAGATGAAAGTGCCATATCGATACAAGCATTATTACTTTTTCTTGCTACTAAAAGCTAACAACAATCCTTTTATACATTACAAAACTGAGGATGATCCCTTTTACCTAAAAGCCCTTTCATGAATTGGAAATAATGAGCAAGAATATATTGTAATTTATGCAAGTCTCAAAATAACATAACATGACATTACATCACTTTATTAGCCATATACAATTTCTTGCATTAAGAATTCATCTTTTTTGCATATCCCAGCTTACTCTCCATGAGACACAGACACACAGACAGGGAGACAAGCTTGGGGTCAGGGCGCAGGGTCTGCCATTGTACAGCACCCCTGGAGCAGTTGGGGTTAAGGGCCTTGCTCAGGGGCCCAACAGAGTAGGATTCCTCTGCCGGCTGCGAGATATGAACCAGCAACCTTCCAGCCACAGGCACAGATCCTTAGCCACCGCTCTTCCCTAAATAACTTAAGGAACCTTGTCACTGAAAATAATACCACTTAAAGGTCTGGATTTACAATACCAACATTTTAAAAGAATCAGTAAAAGTCAGTTATTTAACATGGTAAAATTAAATTTATGTCCAGAAGCACAGTGGGGACTTCTAACTGTACATAATTTTATAAAAGTATTAATTTTATAATAACTAAATTAATTATGTTGATATTATTAGAATTTTTAATTTGTTTATATTTGATTCATTTTAAGTCATTGTACGCTTGCTAAGCAATTAACTGCAATTTTGTACAATGTATAATGGGCCTTAATATTTATGATTTAGTTTTTCCCTAATAATGTCCAAGTGTTTTAAAGTTAATCCAAGCAAACAGATCAATCTTCAGATTTTTGCAGCACTTACACACCTGTGTAATATATTCAATTAAAATGAAAAACAACTAAAGTCAGTCTTTTTGAAGAAACCCAGCCAAATAGCTTAAATATTGAAAAAGGTTACCTTCCACCTATTTCCACATTCATTGCAGAAAACAAATGTGGTCATTGGTTCATCAGCGCTACGAGTCTGAACCTGTAGGAGAGTAACAAGGGAAAACATTAATTAGGCCTGTTGACAACTTGCATACAGTGTAACATACTTGCTCATCTAGGCGAGAGACAAAAGTGTGTTTAATTGGAGAAGGGTTCTTAGAAAAACTTGTTTAAAAAAAATTGTTTACAAAACTATGCACATACACATACAAAATGATCATATATTTCATAATGTAGGTAGTTAATATCAATTTTCAATGATTCAATCACTGATTCAAAAGTATGCACATGTGTAAATGAATAACTCTAAGTGGGGACTATTTGGCTTTAACTGTGTTAAATCACACCTTACAAGTGTAAGGATGTTTACTGTCCACTTTTGAAATTGCTCATGTCCAGAGACAGGGCAGTCTAGCACCTCATACTATGCAGGCATAGGGGAACAGCAACTGCAATTTTTATATTTCGGGGTTAGAAAGAATCGGCATTGATGAGTGCTTTTCAAACCACAATGAAAGTAAAGTGTACACAGTAACGTGCAAAACCTCCAAGTAACATTACAAAACAGACTATATTTTCAGGTATGCGCAGCGCTATATTCTGCGATTCAGAACAAGGCAACAAAACGTCCAGTGACATGAAGCGGCCCTATTACATTGTTAACAAGCAGGCTTGTGAATACATCTCTTTTAACCCAATAGAAATATTGCTCTCGACTTCGAGATGGTTTTGACCGCAATTACAACCTACTTGTTAATTCTGCATGGAGATAATACTGGAACATTTCTGCAGTGAAATGTCTGCGGCACTACCTGTACTAATTCATTTATGCATCGCATTACATTAGTCATTGCAGTGACTAGTGAGCAGGAAGGGCCGCTTCATGTCGCAATTCTCACAAGCTCTCGCCCATGGAAAGAGCAGGGGTTTGCTACAAAATGGAGACCACACAGCATTTTCACAAATTTCACGATGCACTTAATTCGGAATTGGTCAAATTTTGCAGTACCGTCAACTAATTAATTTTGTTACCGAAACTTAATAACTGGTCCGAAGAATCGGGACTGCAGCTCTCCTTTAAATTTGTAATAAGAATTGGAGCACTGTTACAACTATGATGGTAAACTGACACCTGTATTTCAAATCCTTAAGAAATTCTTCCACCTACTGAAGTAAAATGTAGGGGATTTCATCATAACAAAACTCTGGGGACACTCCTAGAATTCTGCAGTAATAAAGAAAGTGGGCTTTGCTTTAGAACAGGGTTCTCAAACTCAATTCTTTGAGGACCTACAGTCTTCTGATTTTTGATCCACCCACATTCTCAGTTACACAGTCGACCTAATCATTTAATTAGCCTCAAAGGACTGCCCTGCCGACTCAGAATGAATGAAAAGATCAGGGAGACTGGTCTCAAGTGGGTAGAGACTTGCTTGGAAGCTCATTCAATTTGTTTGTTTTGTTTTTACTACCGTACAATTTTCTCGAAAAATGTATAGAAAAATGATATTGCTACAGTAACATTGCTCTCTTGTACCTGGGTGTATGTACAGTTCTTCTTTTTGCATTTGCCACAGCAGAAGAGATCAGTCTGAGTGCCTCCTGTTCTTGCCATCTGGTGCTCTCGGATTGCCTCTTTGGTCAGGTTTTTACGCATCTCTTTAAGTTCATCACTGGCCATTTCCTACAGGACAAAAGACATGGGACATTTGAGGTGCTGTCTGCTGCTCTACTTTGTACTACACTTTGTGTGTAAGATCAGCTGTAAAACACCATTCGGCACAATTATATTAAGCCATTACAACCTGACTGAAGGGGTGTGTTAACATCGAAGGCTTAATTTAATTCACACAAGAAACTTTGTAAGAATAGACTTCGCATCTCAAGTAATCTGCCGTGTTCACACCTCTGCTGTCATCTTGGCCATTCTGTCTGGAGGTACGTTTCCACAAAGGACATTCCTTCTCAGGTTTGGGTTCTTGACATCTTTCAGGTTAGCGATTCTGCTCCGTACCCTGTTTTTGTATTTCATGTCAGTGTTTTTGAATTCCTGAAAAATGCGTGTTGATTGGTTAAGGAGGTCATCAGGGCACTTGATTAGGTTAAATCTCTAGCACTCCGATATGAAGTCATACAGACAAATAAACAGGAGCAGAGCCAAGTAAAGTTCTATACAAAATGCAACTGACTACTTATAATTTAAGTTATTTGGGAACTTTAATAACAGTAGACTTTTAAGAACCTGTAACAGACTCCTTAAAAATAAATTAAATTGATTCAACTGAGGTTTTTGTTTTGCGATTGTTTAAAAAAAAAAGGATATAGTCTTCAATCTGAGCTCCAAGTTCATCACAATCGGCACCAATAGCAATGTAGTCATCTGAAACAGACAAATGAAGAGCTATGATTAAAAAGGCAGATGATTTTATAGTGAATAATGAACAAAAATAAAATTCGTGCATTATAACAAGTGCTTCTAATCTCTAAAGCAAACCACCTCAGAGCCATCCACAACCTGAAGTGTGCAATGAAACCACAAGACAAAAGAAAATTAACTACATAATTTTGTCAAATCAAATATAATCATGTTACAATTCTTGCTCCTATGTGAGGGACTAGTTCCCAAATTCTCAATCACATATATAAGCATTTCCTTCTGTAGTTCTGTAGATACTCTGATAAAGTAGCTAAAAAATCATCAACCATGGCATTTTGGTTTCTGCTCCTGACATTTCTATAGGGGATTTCCCAGTCAATGGGGGAAAGTTAACATCTCCCATAAATACTTCACAAAAATTCTTAAATTTCCTTATACTTTTGAATTAGAATTAGCATCTGCACTACTAACACTATACCTTCAGATTTTTTTACAAGTCTGACTCATTTTGAGACTCCTTTAGAATTTTTTAAAGTTTATTTCTTAAATAAGAATATACTTTTTTTACCTGGGTTATGTAAGGCTTGACTTAGATTCAACTTGGATATTTACTTACAAATTCATAATAACAAATTCTGTGGATGCCATAAAAAAAAATCCTAGGCAGGGGCAGTTTAGGCTTCATGTGTAAAGAACAAGTAGTGCAGAAAGGTTCTTTTACTGATGAATAATAAGATAAGATCACTTCATTGGCCATATACAACTTCTTGCATTAGGAAATTGTCTTTTCGCATACCCCAGCTTGCTCTCCATGAGACATACAGGGACACAGATGGGGAGAGAGAAGCTTGGGGTCAGAGCGCAGGGTCAGCCATTTATACAGCGCCCCTGGAGCAGTTGAGGTTAAGAGCCTTGCTCAGGGGCCCAACGGAGTAGGATTCCTCTGCCGGCCACGGGATTTGAACTGGCAACCTTCCAGCCACAGGCGCAGATCCTTAACCACAGTGCCACCACTCCGCCCTACATAGAAAACCAGGGTACAGGGGGCACCCGGATTTGAACCGGGGACCTCTTGATCTGCAGTCAAATGCTCTACCACTGAGCTATACCCCCACAATAACAAGAGTGAGCGTAATACACAAGTCTGAACAGTACAATGTAAGGTAATTAAATGCACAGTTTTCATAAGATGAGATCACTTTATTGGCCATATACAATTTATTGTATTAGGAAGTGTCTTTTCACATACCCCAACTTGCTCTCCATGAGACACACAGACAGGGAAAGAGGCTTGGGGTCAGAGCGCAGGGTCAGGCATTTATATAGCACCCCTGGAGCAGTTGGGGTAAAGGGCCTTGCTCAGGGGCCCAACAGAGAAGGATTCCTCTGCCGGACACAGGATATGAACTGGCAACCTTCCAGCCACAGAGCCATTGCACCGCCCCATAAATTCATTAAACGGTATTTATTATTCACGTACTACATTTGGCGTTTTATTATTCTAATTATAGGAATAGGGTTTTAAACATTTTTACATTTATTGTTACTTCATTTCTCTCTCTCTTTACAGAGGATGTCTCCTTTCTCAACCTTAAGGACTGCTTGGTGCTGCTACATTCTCCCTCTTGCTGTCTACCTTATCACTTGTTAACCATTAAAGTACAATAAACCCAGCGAGCCTGCAGTTCTGTTCTCCTTTTTTCCTTTTTCCTCACTGACAGACCAGCTTGAGCAAATAAGAGAGGATTGCTGCAATATGACAATGGTAATTGACTATATTTATTCACAAAATGACTAAGAAAAGCTCACTGCTGACCTGCATAAGATTCAGATTACATAAAGACACAAGGAACCGAACCCTTAGATAATCTTGGGAATGGGTATATAGTCCAGAACAGTGTGTATTCACTAGTGTTACAGTTCTTCTCTATCATTTTTGGGTCACTATGTTTCCGTGATTTAAATTACATGCTGCATTTCCTGCTCCTGGTGGTAGCTTTTACCTCATGTATTCTGTTTCTAACGCTATAATGAGTTGTCAACATAATTACCAGTGGTGAAGGATCAGCACTCCAAACACTGCTGAGATAAGCTTAACTAACAAAAAGGCTAAAATGTCAAAATATGGCCATTTATTTGTAACATTTACAATAAATAACTGCTCAGGATTTCCCAACAGGTCACTGCAAAGGAATGCAAAGTTGACATTGCATAACTTGATTATCTTTTTCTTATTATCTCATCTTTATTACCTTGTTTACACCCGTACAATTACTAAGTGCTGCATGCAGCATAAATACAGCAACAAGAATGACAGCTTCACAACTGCGCCATCGTCTGGCCAGTCACCAGAGCTATCTCAATGTGAATAGTGATCCCACTGTGGGCGATATCATTGGTAAAGCTCATCACGACTCACTGGGGTAAAAGCAACATAGGTTCTTAAAAGCCTCACCAGGCTGGTAAATCCCGGGTAAGTGAAAGGATAAGGGGTACAGGGTACATGTGGTGGAATAATGAATACTGAACTTACTCCCAGATTGAAGAGCACTGGAGAGCATCTCTCTGCATTTAAGCCGCACCGAGTCTGAGGTGTTGGGAGCTTGAGGGAAAGTGGTGATCAGTGTGTTGGGTGGAGCATCACCTGTTTCACTTTTGCTGCTTGAGTTGCTGCTCGAACTGCAAGGACAAATTAAATAAGCACTTTTAATACAGACGAAACAGCACATTAATAATAATAAATGGGCTTCTTACTTGAAATTCACTGAGATACACTATCATTTATTAATAACTACTACAAGTAAGGCACCAAATAATGTAACTTATTTGCGCATTTATAAGACATGTTCAAGTAGGTAGCTGCATCAGCATGTGTAGGCTGCAAGGGAACAGGTAAAGATTTATTCCAAGCTGAAAAGAAAAGAGACTGTTTTGGCTGTGAGACCTTCTTCCACAGCTGAAACACTGTGTCGCTTTTGATTTCCTTACAGCATGGAATAAAACTTTACTTGTTCATCTATAAGATAAGTCTTTTTTCCTCAAAAAGGAAACCGAAAATTAACTTGAATCCTGCCTGTGATGTAATACTGTTAATACTCAGTGAAATATTTTTAGCTTTGTCATTTCTCAAGGTAAACCTTACTGTGCAATAACACATATTCACCTTAAAATGATTTTATCATGTATTTATTATTAGGTAATACATTTGATATTCACAATAAAAAGACAATACATATTGTGAATATTGAATAGCGGTAATACTGTGTGGAACAATTTTAGCCTATGCATTCCTAGACTCAAATGCAATATGAGGTTGGAAGAATTTATTGAACGTTGGGTGGAAATACATCACTCTCAATAAATAGTAAAATATAAGTACTTTACCAGTACTCTAACTAATAAGGTAAACATTAATGTCTAGTGAGACACATCTGTAGCACTGAACCATATGCTGAGGGTAGACTTATTTCATATTACCCATATTGATAAAGGCAGTATCATTTTAAAATACTTTTGTGCAAACTTAAAAAATACTGTTATAAGGCAAGTCATATACTGGAAGTAGTAAGAAATCATAAAGAATGGCAAAGAGTAACCGAAAGACAATCTGATATACATTAAACCTTTGTTTTATTATGTACAACTGAATATTTATTACTAGTATTTACCTTATACTATCATTCACAGATGCATTTTCCAGTGACCTCCAAGTAAATATTATACAAAGTAGGAATCAATTTTGTTCCCAAAAATATTTACTCCTCAGGTTATTGGACTTTATAAATCAATGTATCCTATACACCGGCAAACTCAAAATGCAGCAATGCTGCCCATTTTATGCTAGAAGTGAAATATACTGACATGTTCACTGGGGATATATCAGTATTTAAATTTCAAAGGATGGTCTGTTTAACATTCCTGGCAAGATGCTGGCAAATATAAAACCTTGAATCCCCTACATGCAATAATAGAAACACTGCATTTTGGTCTTTTTAGTGTCACACTATCTTTATAATTTAACACAGTGGTTCTCAAACTTTTTGGACCAAGTACCACCCCTAATCCAACGAAAGCATCCAAGTACCACCTACAAGTCATCATCTCATAGGAACCCCAGACATTCTCAATGAACAACATGAGCGCGCGTGCACACACACACATACATATAATAAATATTAATAATAAACTTTGTTTGATATAGCGCCTTTAAAGGTGTCTTCTCAAAGTGTTTTACAGAAAAAAAAACAGTAACAACAACAAATAAAAATAATTTAAAAAGCACCATTTCAGTGAAAGGGGTGAGCCTGTTTAGTCGAGCAAAGCAGATGTGAATTTATTTTTCGAGCCTTGATTTACAATTTACAACAGAGTCTAACAGATTTTAAATCGTCAGGCATTTTCTTAACGGCAAAGGTCTCGCGGTGGATGTTGCAATGCGTCCATTCATTTCTGGAGCAACCTCTCTAATTCGTGCAACTACACCGCTGTGTCGGCTTGTCATTGCTCTAGCACCGTCTGTACAAACTCCGACACATTTTATCCAGTCGATGCCATTCTCTTCAATAAATTCATTCAGAAGCTGAAATATGTACTCTCCTGTAGTTCCTGTTGGTAGCGGTTTACAGAACAGAGAATCCTCACGGGACGTACCCTCAAACTTGTATCTAACGTAAACGAGCAAATTGGCCAAATCAACTACAGACTCATCTAATTGCAGTGAAAAACATCTTCTCATCTTAACGCGCTCTGTCAGCGTACTTTTGATATAATCCTTCATTTCAATAATTCTAT